CTAGTAAGCTTTTCTCCAGTTGAGTGATGGACTGTAGCTTGAAGGTTATAGTGGAATAGCTTTTGGGAAAGAGGAGCCTTATGTTGTTTACTTATTCCCCTTTCATCGCATTGCATTGAACATATATAGTTCTTTGAGTTCACGAAGGAGGACGTTAGAAATATAATGAAATATTGTTTTGAGTTGATGTTTCCTTAAAGTGTTCCTCTCACTTGATTTGTTGAAAGAGCTTGCTAGAGACATAAGAAACTTGCTTCGTTGCTTGTAATTGAATGAACTTGTGACTGCATTTTCAATCTGAAATTTTCTCAACTGGTAAATGCAGAACTTTGAGTGAGGTCCAAGGCTCTTCAAGCTGTTTACGATCAGACTCTTGTGACGATAGTGGTGGAGTATGCATATGTAGTAAGTGTTCTTTATAAACTTTCTCCCGTTTACACAGAGCTTCTTGTTATTACCCTTCAGGTTTCACCATTTCAATACAATAACATTGTGACAAGATGCAAAGCTTTTTGTTTTGCAGGTTTACATGTCAGATTTGACAGAACTTTTTAGTTGGACATGTCCTAGTTGTGATGGAAAGACCAAGGTAATTTGACTACGTTTTAATATGACATTTTTGCTAAGGTTGCGTAAAGAATAGGTCCTCAGTACTAAATGGCCAATTCTTGATATGAGATTTTGTGGGCATATGCTGCCTTCTATTATTAGCTTCTGATTGGTTATTAATGCCTTTGATTTTGAAAGCAGGGGTTCTAAGTCATTGATCTGATAGTTTGACGTCCAGTACTGCTTATAGGTATGTAATTCATGTTGCAGTGGCCTACCAATTTGCGATGCTTGTGATGCCTCTATGTTTGAATTTCATCTAATTTTTTGTCCTTATTTCTAATCAATATATATTACCTGTAGGCATATATTGGTGGCCAGGACCTTAATGCTGTGGTTATAGCTTTCAAAGATACTCAAGAACATAGGTATGCATGTTAACTTTGGCAATTATTCCCCTTACATTTGACATGCGAAGGATTTGATGAAAATTTAAGCTAAGAAGAGTAGCCTCCGGTGAGTGCGTACACAAAGCACATGGGTCTGCTGTCCATAAGAAGGGAAAACAGTGAATCATTTCCAGTGAGACATGAAAGTTATGTGCTTGTAAATTTAGATGTAGTCATGAGGAGATCACATACTTCACTAATTTTGTCCTTGGAAAAGTTATTTGAACTTTTCGGTTAGTGGTTACTTCTATATATGTCTACAACATACAGAATTCGATTGAAGATTTCTACTGGAAACAGCTTGACCTAAACTACCCCCGCATGCCTGTAGCCATGGTTCTAGAGATGATGAGCCTCTTGCAAGTTGTGGATACTTCTGATTTGGAATGAGTTACAGTCTTATTCTATTGTCTTTGCTTAGGTTCATCATGGATTTGTTATGCTTGTCACAATACGACAATGCAACCTGGTATTTTGGATGCAGTTAGAAGAGTCAAGGATTTGACATCAACGTCATGGTGATAGGGCATTCTATGGGAGGGCCTATGGCGTCCTTTTATGGACTTGATATTGTGGTAAGATAGTTAAAAACTTGTTATGGGTTCAGATATTGGTTCTTCTCTATTGTGTTTTTCCATTTATTCAGTTTTGGTCTGTTAAGAGTTACCTGGAATTCTCTGCCAACTCTGCCTTGAAGAGTCTAGACTCTAGAGACTCTGGATATCTTGAACTTTCTATGGCTTCATATTTATATTTACGATTAGTTAGCATCTTGTTTTTTTTTCTTTTTTGGTAAATCAACCCGTAGACAAAACACAAGCAGAATGGGTTGCAAATAACCCTTTACCTGAACCATCTATGGTCTACGTATTTAGTTGTGTGAATTGTCTTACATGTTAAGCCATGGAGCTTAAAGTTGGTTGAATACCTAAATATAGTGGATAAAGACTTCCAACTAATCATTACAAAGTTTACTTGCTGGAAATTTTATGGGATTATTGATATGTTTATGGTCTGGATATATAACTTTTGCAAGCTCTTGAAGCTCAACTTTTATGTCATGTAATCTTGAATTGCTAATGCATTTTAAACTAGAATATATTGATCCTAAATCTGTGTTCTGTGCACTGTTTCTGTCTGTCTCTCTCTAACCAAAAGAAGCAGCTCCTTTTCGGTCGGCCTACTGGCCAGATATGTTGTAGGCTGGAACCAATTCTAAATGTCTAACTTATGCTTTTTGTCTCAACTTTATTGGACAGAGTGGTCTAGAGTTTTCTAGGCACCTGTTGTGGAACTGGTACCGGAAATGGTACCCACCCTAAAGTCATGTCCCATTAATTCTCTTCTCCATGACAAGTAGTGATTTTTGAGGGTCAAACTTTGTCTTGGACACAGATTATACAGACACTCACGTGACCTACGATAGGATCGTGGGTTGCATGAACTTTAGACTAAACCTTTTCTCGAAGTATTAATAGCAACTGTGACATCTTGTTTGAACACTTGGATGGTTTAAGATGTCATTTTTGTTTGTTGGTTTCTTGCTGAAAATTGTTCTGAGCTGATTGTGACATCATGCCCATGGGTCGTGGCCCTTTCCATGCGTAGTGGCCCTTTTTAAGATTTAGTTTCTCCTTTGCTACTAATGACTGTAAGTTTTAGGGTTCTAGAGGCAATTTCACCATGAACCTAGAATTTTTTCGTTTATGTCATTAGCAGGATATGACTCACCCCACCAACATCTAAGTGCTTCTTGTGGAAGCATTTAAATGCGCCTTGGTTGAAAATTCACCCCCAATACCACCATTCCATATTATTAACACCTTTTCTTGGATGTGAGGGTGGGGTGGGTTTTGTTGTGGCTGTGGGGTTTGGTTTTGGGAAAATTATGGATGGGATCTAAGACAAAGTAACACTAGACCTCCAACCCTCATGGAGAGAAGGGGTTGTTCTATCGTTCACCTTTGTATGTGAAATGCAATTTATGGTTATTGATGCATAGTAGTTTTTCCCTCGTGAAAGTTTTAACATTCAAGTTATTTGGCCATCTAATTATGTGTGGTGAAGCTGTTTTTTCCAGACCATTGCTCACTTGATTTACTTATATAACTAAGGACACTAAATTTCCAGGTAAATCATGAAGCACAGATTGTCCAGGTTTTGACATTTGGACAACCTCGTATTGGCAATGCAATGTTTGTTTCTTACTACAGCATGCCAAATACTATACATATAACTAATGGACATATATTGTGCCTCATTTGCCTCCGTACTATTCTCGGTTCCCACAAAAGACATACCATCACTTCCCTAGGGTGGTATGACTTTGATCTTGACAGAATATCAGATAAATTATGGGGAATTGTCGCTGACTGCATTTGACATTTGCTTTGCATTTATTTCAACCTGTCTAACTGGAGAAGTCTTATATTTTCCAACAATGTTCGTACTCTCATTTTTTCAGCGTATAAATTTTAATTGTTTTGTTTGTTTTATCTTCTTAACAAAGCAGGGCAGTTTGTAGTACTCATGACCTTTCTAACAATATTTAAGGAACTCTTCTCCTATAAAGCTATCATGAGTTTCTCGTACCAATTCCAAATTTAAGACGCGTAATAATTTGTATCACTCTCTCTCTCTCTCTATGATGGCTGATGACCTATTCTTAAGCTATGTGCAATTATAAGGTATTAATCATTTAAATTATGTATGTCTACTAATGCCTATAATATTGGCAACTAGCTCAATGACAGTCACGGATAAACATATTGATGTGAGATAATGTGAAAATAATTTGATTCCACCTGCTTGTCTGGCGATAATCTTACTCTTTTTTATGTGAGTGTTCGCATGTAATTGGAATCCTTCTTTTTTTGTAGGTATGGCCGTATAATATAGGATTTGGTAGTCTAGTTTATTAGGTCGAGAAAGTTTGTGATGGCTCTGGAGAAGATCCAATTTGCAGCAGGTAAGGAGGTAGTTTCAGTCGTAGGTACCCGTTACAAGCAATTATTTTGTGGATTTATCATGCTAGGTGCAATAAGTCATGTGACAGATCAGCTTATTCTAGAGAATGCCAGTCTTTTATTACCGGAAATATTTACGGATGACTTATCAGAGTGTGTTTCTGCATATCAGTAACTGGTAACAGCCTTGCGGATCATTTACTCTATTATGGTGCAGAATTAATGGCGGAGACGTGGGAATCGTGCAAAATCGTCATGGACGCACGATTGAAGGAATACGGAAGCGAAGACTAAGGAAACCTTATGCTTTCCAGGAATCCTTCTTCTTTTGCATTGAGGCTGCGTTAAGACTCAGATGCCAAGAGTAACTTAACGTAAAATGCTCCTAAGTCAGCACCTAATTTCGTGAAGATCATTAGGTAGCTCTGGAAGAAGTTTGTTCACGTAATGCATTCCATCAATCTGTTTCCATGTCCATCACAAGATGCATAGGATCTCTACCGAAATTCACTTGGAATGTAAATAGCATGAAGTTGAATGTATCATCCTTGTAAATACAACTCTGTGATACCTATTGAATGAATGCGCTCGCAATTTTACCTGTCAATTTAATCTTGGGGCTGTGGCATTTTTTACCAAACTCAATAAAACCTAATAAGGACGTGTGGATGCTGAGCTGAGGTATCCATAGCCGAATCACGCTGCTTTTTTATTTCCTTTCTTTTTTTTTCTTTTTTTGGGGGTTGAACTCGTGTTGAACTTCGCAAAATTGGCAAAAGTTTGTGAATTCTGGAACTGTTAGACTTGCATGGTTTGGAGATTAACCGGTTTTATAAGGTGAAACAAAGACTGTCTAGGGAGAACACTTTTCAATCAGTGACCTTCCCTTCTACTACAGGCTTATTGGCATATAAAAAATTTCTCGGCGCAACCAAGTACTTCAACTAAGACTACCTCGAGCACCAATCTAAGCACACAATATTTCTCCCGGTCCAGACAATCCCTTCAAGTGTTTTCTCGTAAAAGAACATTTGGGTACTAATAAGCAAGTTCTATTGCATAACAATGAAGAGAACACACATTTAGATGAAATGTAATAATCATTTTTTGGGCCCACAATAAAGTTAAAAAAAATCAGGTTTGCCTAAATAGCTTTTTTACCCCCCAAAACAGATGAATATAGGGTTTACCACCCCAAGATTGTGAGGGAACATGGTCAACATCAAATTTCATCCATCATCTGCCTTTCTTCGGTCTCCATCTATACAGCTGCCCAATTAGCCACAACTCCCTGCACAGAAAGATTTTTGCAAGTTTCTTAAACTTTGAGTCCCTCAGAAGCATTAGAAACCGGCAAAAAGTCAGTTGTTTGAGATTTCTCCCTTAGCACTTCTTGTCGATCTTTAAACCTGAAAGAGTCATCTAGTGTAACTTAAGGTGAATGGAAGGGCTTCTATTACAGATAACCACCTAGGCATAACCATTTGAAGAAAATGGAGGCAATAATGGAGATCACACAAGGGTCAATTTACATGATTTCAAACCCCAAGTGAGACTTCTCACATGTCCGATACGCCGATAATACTGAAATTTAGCCTCAACTATAAGATGATTTAAGATACCTTGGCGAAGCTAAATAGCTATCCTCTCCTGTTACAGATGGAAGCTTTGCTGCACCAACTATTGATGCCGCAACCCAAGTGAAATTCCTCTTTCCTCATTTTATAACTTCTCAATAACATTTGCAAATCCCACTAAGAAGCACACCTTTCCTGGAAAATAAACTGAACATAAGCATATCAATACATTGTCTTCTTCACAATAGCAACAATGAGTTAATTATGCTGTAATATTCCAGGATGAGAACCATAGTGCTATGACCTTCCAACACATATTTCATCTAATTGTTTACAATATAGCAAAGTTATCTCCAATATGAATCAGAGGGTATGAACTTCGAAATATGTGAAGCAGCAAATCGACAAGGATATCTAATGAATTGTCATAAATCAAATAATAACGATGCAATCGACATGCACACCATCCGCTGAGAATATAGCTAAAAAAAGCCAAGCCAAACCAAACTAGGAAAAGAAAACATATATTTGTACATAATTAAGAACCCTCTGGTTATACGGAGGTACCATAATTTCAATACCTTCTTCAGATTTCCGGGCATCAACTCATAAAGTAATTAAAAAGTGGACGTAAAACTTCACTTTGGATGTCATTTTCATTTTCCATTATTCGGTCTTCATTTGTACAGCTGCCCAATTAGCCACAGCTCCCTACGCAATAAGATTTCTGTAAGTGTTTCAAACTTTAATTCCTCTTAGCTACATTAGAAATCAGCAAAAAGGCAATTTGAGATCTCTCCCTTAGCCCCTCTTGTCAATCTTAAAACCTAAAAGAATCCTCTAGTATAAGTGTATAACCGAGGTGAATGGAAGGGCTTCTATTATAGATAATCACCGAGGCATAACCATTTCTAGAAAATGTAGGCAATAATCGAGATCACACAAGAGTTTCATTTACATGATTTCTAACCCCAAGTGAGACTTATCATATGTCCTGGGCAGTAGGTAACGATATTACTGAAATTTAGCCTTAACTATAAGACGATTTATGATACCTTGGAGGTGGAAGTTTTGCTGCACCAACTATTGATCCGCTACCCAAGTAAAATTCCTCTTTCTTCATTTTATGACTTCTCCATAATATTTGCAAATCCCACTAAGAAGCACATCTTTCCTGGAAAATAAACTGAACATAAGCATATCAATACAGGGTGTCTGTCTTCTTCACATTATGCTGTAAAGTTCCAGGATGAGAACCATAGTTATTATATGACCTTCTGACACACATTCCATCTAATTGTTTACAGTACAAGGAAGTCATCTCCAAAGCGAAGCGAGGTTATCAACTTCGAAATAAGTGAAGCAACAAATCGACAAGGATATCTAATAATTTGTTACAAACCAAACCAAATAAAAACGATGCGATCGACATGCATACCTCCAATTGGGAAACATAAAACCACGGAGAAACCATCCAAAGAGAATATAGCGAAAAAAGCCAAACCAAACTAGGAGAAAAGAACGAATGTCTGTACATAATTAAGAACCCTCTGGTTGTCCGGACGCGAAAAGGTAATTAAAAAGTGCATGTGAAACATCTCCGTTCATATCCGTGAAAGAGTTTGATTGCAGAAAAGGGAAAACATTGGTTGTCAGATGAAATAACTTACCTCAATTTGTTTAAAGTTTGCACGCAAGGGAACAATTTGTGGTCGGCGATCAAGAAGCTTTCAAGAGCAACGTGCACTTATCCGTCAGTCTTCTCCCCCATATCCATATTCAAATTCGTATCCAGATTCGTCATCTTATACCACTGATTCGTCTAGTCTCCCTCAAATATGACTGCCTTCTCCGAGCAAAGCAAAGAAATTGCCTCCACATTTAATTTCCCGCAACGCGTTATTTCAACTATTTTCAGTCCCTTCAAGCTTGATAGATCAGGCAACTTCTGTAAAGATCCACAGCCACAAATCCTCAATGATTCCAAACATTGTGGTAGTTCGCCTTGAATCTCAACCAGATTATTGCATTCGAACACATGAAGACATGCTAGTTGGTTGTTATTACTTAGATCAGGTAATATCCCCACCCGTTGAAGTTCCGAAAGCTGCAAATCTAGGTTCTCCGAACCATCAAGGCCTCGAATCTCTGGGATTACAGAGTCAATAATCGTAAGATCTGATAGGTTCTTCAAATTCGATAGATCCCCCAGGGAACCAAATGACTTGCAACCTTGCAAAAGCAAGAATGATAAACTGGAGGGAAGGCACGAGAGGCAACGCAGATTAGGACACACGAGTTCAAGTCTTTGGAGTCGAGGAAGGAGACTACTAATATCTGCGGGTAAGGCGGTCACGTGTTCAGACTCCAAATCCAAGGATGCTAAACTGGAGGGAAGGCTCGGGAGGCAACGCAGATTAGGGCATATGAGGGAAAGTCGTTGGAGTCGAGGAAGGAGACTACTAATATCCGTGGGTAAGTGGATCACATGATAAGAGTCTAGGAACAGAGTCTCCAGTTTGCTTAAATTCCCAATCCACCGTGGCATCAGATATTCTTCCACAGGCCCATTAGATTCCCCAGCGTCATCGCGTGGGCCAAAGGTCAGTATCAATTCCTCTAAATTAGTCAGGTTTGAGAGATCCGGAAACGTATCCATGTGCAATGTACACAACCCTAGAATGATAAGACTTTCAGGAAGCCTCGGTACTACGTTTATTCTAACATTCGACAATCTCAAGATCCTTAGGGAGTGATTTCTATAGATGCAATTGCCAATTTCCACTTCCACATTCAAATCCCCAAATTGGGCATCTATTTCTTCGAGCTTCTCAATCGTCCAGAGGGCATCGGGTATTTTGCTCATTTCAAACCAATTCATCTTTACTAATTTCAAATTTTTCAACTTTCCGACGGAATCGGGTAGTTCTTTGATCCCTGTATAATTTGTATTCAACTCAATCAATGATTCCAAATTTCCGATGGAATCAGGTAGTTCTTTGATCCCCGTTTCAAATATATCCAACTTAATTAGCGATTTCAAATTTCCGATTGTATTCGGAAGCCTCTCCAACGATTTGCAAAATTTTAGAGATAGGTATTCAAGGCTCACAAGATCTCTACCCATCTCTTCTGGCAGCCTCCGAAGTTTCTCACAATAGCTTACATCTAAGGAAACTAGGCTTTTCAAATGACAAATCGACCTATCAATTTCAGTTAAAGATTTACAGCGCTGTAGGATCAATCGTTCTAAATTTACCTCAGCAGAGAAGATGGGAATTCTCTCCAAGCAATTGCATCCGGTCAGATTCAAAATTTTCAAATTCTTCGTCTCCTGTAAAAGAAAAATCATGCAAAGATTACTTTTGAATCTCATAAGATGGAATAATAAGTGTTGTCTAGCACATAACATACCTTCATATGGCTCCACCCCTGCCAATCATGCGTGATCTTACTCTGAGATAGATCAAGAATAACCACATTCTCCATGGAGAAATTTGCAATCTTAAATGATGGGGGAATACCGTGCCAAGAAAGCCATTGTAAATGTGGAAGGAGATCTGAATTCTCTAGAAAAACATTAGTAGGAAGAACATTTGATGGCGATTCGTGCCAAAGAAGCCTCTCTTCAGCACGAAAATATTCCTCCGAACCGTTAACTTGAAGAAACCGCAGATTTGATATTCTTTTAAAGTCCTTACAGGTAAAATAGTGCCGCCGCTCATGGTCAAAGCGGAGATGAAGAGCTTCAACTTTTGTTTTTCCCTGCCCAATGGAAAATTTTAAAAACAAAAGAGTTGAAGCGAAACACATTTATTCAAGTTCACTATTTTAAGGGGTTGAGTTGGAGTACTATCGTTCCTTTAATCTTGACAGAGCAAAAATATTGGTTTGAGTAGGTCACAATAGTGCTAGAGAACACAAAAAAGTAACTGGCTTTCTTTTTAAAAAGAAAATGTCCACAAGTAACATGGAGATTTATCACACGGGGGATTTTACCTCGTGTCTCCTCAGCAAATCCAATGCTTCCTTAGGATCCCACACCCTACTTTGCTTCTCTATTTTCATCTTACTTTCTTGACGAACTATTTCTCTGCCGAGGTCTCTGAGTTGGTCATGCATCGACACTTTATTAGACTTTCCAATCTTTATCAAAGACATGTTCTGCAAAACTTCCATAGCTTCTTTCGGAAAAAATTTAGATTTTTCCCAGAAATGAACCATAATGTCTTTGTCATATCCAATGAAAAAACAAGCTATATCGAGGAATATATGTTGTTGTCGAACTTCTAATGCATCAAAACTTATTTTTAGCTTACTCTGAACATCCACATGAGGAACCTTTTCCAACGTCTCCAATATGTCATCCCATCTTTTCTTTTCAGTGCGAGATAAAAGTGAACCTATGACTTCAAGAGCTAGCGGAAGGCCTCTAGCAATGCCTATCGCCCTCTTGGATTGGTCGATATACTCAATCAAAGGAGAGTCTCTTCTGAAAGCATGTTTGCTAAAGAGTTGAAGAGATTGATCGCGATCCATGCCCATAAGCTCATAACGATCGTCCACTTTAAGAACATCAAGAACTTCTTTGTTTCTGGTAGTAATAATAAGTTTACTCCCTTTACCAAACCAATCACGCTCACCTACAAGTGCATCCGCGTGATTCTTTTCATGCACGTCATCTAGAAGCAGGAGGACTCTTTTATTAGACAACCTCTCTTTAATTGTCTGAGTTCCTTCATCAATGTCTTTTATATGCATGCCTTTTATTTTGAGGATGCCAGAGATGAGTTGATTCTGCAAGTAGTGAATGCCATTACGTTCTGACACTTCTCGAATATCGCGAAGAGAGCAACAATTCTCAAAGTCGTGTAAAAGCTTATTATAGATCATTTTGGCAATAGTCGTCTTTCCGATGCCACCCATCCCGTGGATTCCTATAATCCGTGTTTCACTTGTCCCAGCACCTATCTTTTCCATGATTGCGTCCACATGGTTGTCGACATGGACCAAGTAGTCTGATACCACTAGATAACCCTTTTTCAACTCGCTGAAAACCTTATGGGTAAGTTCTTTTGCGAACTCTCCTTCTCGCCTAGTGTTTGTTGGAGGCAAAAGACAATGAGGTAGAAAATTGTGTTGAATTAACTATGTTCTGACAAGACCAAATTAAATTCGGAATGTGTTCTTCAAGGATTTATTCCATTGTAGATGAATTAGCGTTGGTACTTACAGTTAATGAATGAACTAAACTGGAAAAAAAATGATGCTTGGAATAAAATGGGACAAAATTGGGATTGTGCCATTACTTAGCGAGATTTCAGCAGTATAACTTCAATAACACAGAATTCAATTTAAGCAGGGCTAACACAAATCTAGAAAATAAACCTGAAACACATCAAGTTTTAATGGTAGAAGGTACATGAGACGGAATGCTTAAAGCAATCACCTGTTCTCCTTCTTGCTATGCAGGTCCCATCCGTTTATTGCTCCCACTGCACTGAGAGCATCCTTCCACCCTTTAATAGTCTTTTCGTCATGTCGCTTCTTGTTTTCATGTGCAAGAAAGGCCTTTGCATAACTCTCTGTTTGGTGCCGAACCTCTGAAGGCGCCACATCGTAAAAAATAGGGATGATCTTTTGTCTTCCAGTTTTCTGGCACTCGACCATTTGGACTAGCTCCTTGAGACACCACACGCTAGAGGCATAGCCTTTCGAAAAGATAGGTATTGAGATCTTCGACTGATTAATTGCTTGGAGAAGTTCTGGGGCAAACTCTTCCCCGATGCCGAGCTCTTTGTCGTCCTTAAATGTGCGGATTCCCGCATCATTAAGACTAGTGTAAAGGAAGTCGGTAAAACCTGCTCGAGTATCTGATCCATTGAAGCTCAAGAATACTTCATAGTCATATCCTGATGAAGTAGCCATTCCTTGACCTTCTGTTGAAGTGCGAGAAGAAGAAGCGCCTCCTGCTGTTTCATCGTTTGCAGCTGCATTGTCATTTGCCTCCCCACCATTGATCTCTCTTGATCTCCTCTCGAAGAAAAAATTGAACAGCATAGCAGCAAAATCAGTACAGCACGATGAGCACATTGCGAAATCTAAATCACTTTAGAAGCCAGAACTAACAAACGGAGATCTCTGTGGGTCATTAAACGTAGAAGACAGGACTGGCTAAATATGCAGAGAGTCGAGGACCGGTTTGCTAGAATTGGTCAATAAGAATGGCTCGCTACAGCCTGTCAAAGTTGACGAATGCAGGTTTTTTTAAAACCAAAGTGGCCCCTCCCAACTCAATTCTTATCTTTTATCTCCACCGACACAACGCAATTGAAAAAAGAAAACTACAATTGCGGGGCGGGGTGTTGAGTCGGGGCTATTTTGGGGAAAACAGCCCCCTTCTGGTCATATGAGCTGTTGTTCCTGTGCCTGATCGCGGAGATTTTCTTAGACGTTTTTGGCTCCCCACCCACCACAAATGGCCAAAACCACGTTGTTTTCTGGAATCTGTTGATCATCAATTGGATGTCTATTTTGCTGCTACCAAATTACTCCAATGCCTTCATGGCAGGAAGGTGGATAAATTCTTGATAGTGTTGGTAATTTACTTATCACACTAATAAAATTTCATAAGAGTTGGTAATTTACTAATTTATTAGAATGCTGATAAATTATTGATAGTGATAGTGATTTACTTACTGCATTGGTAAAATTCGAGAGGAGTTGCTAATTTACTAGTTCATTGGAATGTTGCTAAATCTTGAACAAAAATGGTGATACTGTTCCTTTGTTGATCAATCACTTCTATTTTTGGGATGTATCATGGTCATCCAATAATAATGGTTTTAATTCTTAACAATGGTGGTAATTTATTTTGTAATTTACTACTTCATTGGACTATTGATAAGTTTTTAATATCGCGAGTAATTTACTTATGACGATGATAAAATTTCACAGGAGTTGGTCATTTACTACTTCACCGGAATGTAGACAAAATCTAAGAGTGTTGGTAATTTATGAGGGGTTTACCAGACAAGCAAGTTTTTGTTGGGGTGTGGTTCATACATCTGTACCCCTGCAATAGGAAGGTACGGGAGTCCCGCTCCCTAGTGAGCAAGTCTGCGAAGCCAAAAAGCTTTTATAGTGGCTCGTATTTTTTTTGGTAGTTTGGGCTTTGGCTCAAGAATAGCTACCATTATATATAATCTCTTTCTCTTGTAATTAAGGAATGTAATAGAGAGATGTGAGGTGCTAATTATGCTAGATGTATCCCTAGTTTAAGAGTGAACCGGGATAAAACCTCGTGTCTCCATTTCTCTTTTTCGCTTTTATTCTTTGTTTCTTTATGATTATGCGTCGAATCCCAACAGTTACCGGTGATGTTTTCTTTATCAATAAAATTGAATAATTACCAACAACTTTGAAATTATATCAACACGGAAATTTTCCAGTTTTTTAGTGCAGAATATTGCCCTGCTCAAAGCATAGGTGTCACAGCTTCAAATTTTATACAGGAAAGAACAATTTACAAAGATCTCGAATAAAGCGTCACTAAGTAAAATTGGAAAAAAAATGCCCTTGAAGTGCAAAACCATCAGTAGGCGGTCTTATGGCCCTTATAAAATTAATGGTGCAAAACAGCGAGTAAGACTGACACTGTATAATGGCTAGACAAATAAAATTTACCTGTGCAACTTTACGGAGTTCATGTCTATAAAGGAGGCGATTCAAACGAAAAAGACTCCAATATAATTAACCTCCCAACCCAACACAGATTGGACTCAGAGCATCTAATTCGAAAATCGCCTCCACATTACAATGATTTTTCTAAACGTCGTTCAAAACCGATGAGACAACTTTTGCCAAGCTCGCTGCACAAAATCTCCAATTCTTGCAAATAAAGGCCTTGAGTATAGAAACGATACCAATATCTTGGTGATAAGGCAGTCACAAAAGCAGAGGACAGCTTCGGACTCTGGCTAGCTTAACCTCCCATCTTTCTCAAGCACTCAATGTCCTTGAGTTTTGAAGTTTCTCGAACGTTTTCGTATGAAAGCGACAATCCTCATTATCGTGTGAATTTGTAGATGATTTTGGCAACAGTTGTCTTTCTAATGCCACCCATCTCATGGAATCCAACAATCCGTGCTTCGCTTGTTGGAGCGCCTATCAGTACCATGATCACATCCACATGTTGGTCTACACTGACCAAGTAGTCTGTTACCAGCAAGATAAGCCTTTTTCCAACTCATTGAAAACCTTTTGGGCAATTCTGTTTGTGAACTAACTTTTTTGCCTAGTATCTGTTGGAGGTAAAAAGAAAAAGGGATTAAAAGTGAACCAAACTATGTTCCGACAAGACCAAATTAGAAACTGCAAACCTACGTGAAATGAATTTCCTAAATAATTCAATTCAGTTATAGATGAATTAGCCTTTGTACCGAGTGTTAATGAATAAGGACCTGCACTAGAAAAATGCGGTTTGGAATGCAAAGGTTCAACGGGGACTTATGAAGAACTTGAATTAGGATCAAACCGTGCTGCTTTTTCAGCGTGATTTATCTGGTCTTACTTCAATAGACAAAACCCAATGCACACTTTGTAGGTCATTAAACTTAGAAGCCAGGATTGGTTAAACATGCAGAGAGTCGTGGACCAGTTTGCTACAATTGGTCATTAAGAATGATTCATTGCAACATCACTCCAGCCTGTCAAAGTTGACAGGTGCACTTTTTTTAACACCCAAAGCATAAAATAAGGTTCATCAGTGATATAATACGGTTGAATTCTTTCAAGTTTTTCAACGCCTAATGCATAACAGAAGGTTCATCATAGATTCCAAGATGCTTCCTCAATTTCCTTTGCTATCCTAAATGCGGTGGCTGAGAGCTCCCATGTCATCTATCAAAATATTAGGACGGTCCTAGATCAATATCGTTAGGCATTTATTTTCAGGCGATTGTTCACGTAGAATAAAGTTTGTCTTAAAAAAAGCTCTAGCACAGGGCTATAAGTTCATTGACTTCGATTAAAAAAAAAGACTTGATTCCAGTCGAATATCAAGTATGAAAAGCGTATTTGCTAACTGGGCGGGTTTTGGGAGTTTCTCTTTTCCATGTATTTAACTAGCACGGTAGTAGATCACTTATTATCAATTACATGAAACCAATTTTTTCAACTTGTTTTTCGGCGCAAATAAACACTAGAAAATTGTTCACTTTCTTTGAAATTGAATTTCCTGAAAACGATTTCAGCGACAAGAAATTTTTAGTGAAATAAATTAATTTCAGTGTGGCTTCCTCTTTGCTTGACAAATCTGGCTCTCTCTCTCTCTCTCTCTCTCTCTCTCTCTCTCTCTCTCTCTCTCTCTCTCTCTCTCTCTCTCTCTCTCACTAGCCGATTGTGTTGAGCGCCATGATTTTTCTTATGCTCTTATCCATTTTTGGCCGAGGGCAAGATATATGGATTCTTTTATTTAATGTATTTGATCTCTACCGTTGGTTTTACGGATATGTTAATTTACTAATTCATTAGAATGTTGGTAAATTCTTGGTAGTGCTGGTAATTTATTTACGATACTGGTATTAAAAGTTGGTAATTAACCACTTAATTGGCATGTTGGTGAAATTTTTATAGTGCTGGTAATTTACTTAACACACTGGTAGAATTTGAGAGAGTTGGTAATTTAATTCTTCCATGTAATGTTTGTAAAATCTTGATTGTGTAGGTAATTTACTCACCACCCTCATGAAATTTTGTAGAAGTCGGTAATTTACTACTTTATTGGTATGTTGGTTAATTTCTAATGAGCCTAATTCCAAAAAAAAAACACCAACTTTAGGTGAAGTGACAATTCTGGCCCCGACTTTTTTTTGTCTCGTAAAAAAGCATCAACTTTAAGTCGAGTGACAATTATGGCCCCATCTTTTTTTTGTCTCATAAAAAATCACCAACTTTCATTTAAATCTCAAATCTTGCCCCCTTGACTTGGAACAATTAATTATCCAACTTAACTATTCCACCTTAGTAATAAATCCACATGGCTTGCTGACTGGATTTAAAGCACTATTTATTGTCTTCTTCTCTAAGGCATAGCTTGAAGAATAATGGTGAAACTATTCAACTCCTTTACTTCACCGGCAAATCAAAAAGATTTCTAGATTTAATCTCTTTGGTCAGACTTCGTCGTTTTGTCATAATTTGAAGTTGTAGACCACCGCCCGTCGACAGACACAACATGGACGAGATCCGCCAAGCTCACGACCATAACCTGTGACATCCTGAAATTTGCCCAGTTGGGATTTATGAGTTGGTTTTCTGAACGTACTCGTAGTTAGTTCTCGCCCGGAACTGATCATTCTTAGGATACTAACCATTAGGGGAAAGGCTAATTAGTGATTTAAGTTCGTGCGACTAAAGAAAATTCGATCGTGAATTGATTTTCGAACATAGAATCATCGATGTGACATTTTGAGCTAATGTAGGCCGATCTTAGGGTAGTTATGGGCCGATCCATCACTGTCATACGAGTGGATCACGGGTGATTCCGTTTGACCACGAAATGAATTGACGAATGGTCCAGAATCTATACCTACCGATCGTGCCCGACGGAACTAGCGATCGAACCTCGTGATTACATGATAACCGAAGTCGTCACGAACCGAGTGAACTTGCACGTGACTCGATTTAGTATCAGTCACGGGTCAAATATGCGAATTTCCCCAAAAGCCGCCCGTTAGTTTGAGAAATGCTCGAGTTACGTTAAATGAAATTCAATTGTTAATTAGAGCCTAAATTGGGCACCGGAAAATTTGGAAGTCACGACGGGACGTTAGGACGACGTTGTGGTTGGAACGTACAGCTTTGGATTTTCCCGAATCCTTCAGAAAAATTCAAATTCGGCAAGAAAATGGAAAAGTGACCATTTTACCCTTGGAGGTTTCTAAAGGGCAAGTGTTAAAGGAGAAGGGCATTTTGGTCATTTTGCCCTAATTTTTGAGTTGGACAATTTTGCCCTTGGAATTTTATGAAATTCCCAAATTGGCCTTGGATATTTTTGGAAAAGATTCGATCCGAGCCGTCGATCTCAGGATAAGAATGAATCTCGACAGTTGATTGGATTTGTGAGAGAAGGGCAAGATGGTCATTTGGGCAATTCAAT